GATCAACAGCAACTGTACTTCTTTTCGGATTTATTCTGCTGGTAGCATTCTTGAAGATGTTCTAACTTGGTATAATCATTGAGGATGGCAGTGTATGGAAAAAGTCTAGTTTACAATGACTATTTCCCATTGGGTTAGATTGTGTCATAAATTCAGATAATTTCTTCCATTAAGAAATTATTATCAAAACCACAATGAGATATCACCTCACACCTGTCAGAGTGGCTAAAATCAAAAGCATGAGAAACAACAAGTGTTGTTGAGGATGTGGAGAAAAAGGAACCCTCATGCACTGTTGGTGGGAATGCAAACTGATGCAGCCACTGTGGAAAACAGTATGGAAGTTCCTCAAAAAGTTAAAAGTAGAACTAATTCTACTACTGGGTATTTACCCCAAAAAACCAGAAACACTAATTTGAAAAGATACATGCACCCCTATGTTTATTATAGCATTATTTATAATAGCCAAGATATGGAAGCAGCTCAAGTGTCCTTCCATAGATGAATGGTTAAAGAAGATGTGGTGTATATACAGTGGACATAAAAAAGAATGAAATCTTGCCACTTGCCACAACATGGATGAATCTAGAGGGTAAAATGCTAAGCAAAGTAAGGCAGTCAGAGAAAGACAAATACCATATCACATGTAGAATTTAAGACAAAAACCCAAATGAACAAAGAAAAAAGGAGACAAAGAAACAGACTCTTAAATATAGAGAACGAATTGGTGGTTGCCAGAGGGGAGGCTGGTGGGGAAAGCATGAAGCAGGTAAAGGGCATCAAGAGTATACTTATTGTGAGGAGCACTGAGTAATGTATAGAACTGATGAATCATTATATTGTACACCTGAAATGAGTATCACTCTGTATATTAATTAAATGTAAATTTAAAAAAATAAATAATTAATTAAAAAAATTATCCAGAAACGTATTTTGGCTTTTGGCCCCACTCTGTAAAAACTATATCGATCCAAATGTAAGGTCTAAATCCTTCTGAAAATGTTATCTTATTACATACTGTTCTACATATATATATCTGACAAAATTGACAATGAGAGCTTCTTGACCAAGTCTTATTCTTTTCTCCCAGGAGAGCTTTCATCATCAAGGCAGTAAGGTTGCTGAGCATTTCACAGAGTTGCATGAAAAAAATATTGTCTAGATGATGCACTGACAAAATAATGACAAGCATCTGAGAAAATGTAGACATGGAAATGATACATACTTTTGTCCTCAAAGCTATTACCATTTTGATCTAGTATTTTAACATAATTTTATGATTATGAAATGCTCTGATAATTTTTGCATCCACCTGCTGCTTTATAGTTTTTTGAAAACATCTAGGTGTGCATCTATTATCAAACATTTATTCCTTACCTACTCTATGCTAAAACTGTGCAAAATGCTGGAATCCACTGTTTTTACTTATCCGACCAACACTTTAACAATTGAGATGACAGCCAAGAACCAAAAATAGATATTATAATTCTCACTTTGGACCCATGCATTCAAATTCTCCAAACTAGTAATCCTACTTCAATGGAAAAGTGCTAGGTGGATATTTGTTTCCCAAGGGAGGCATGTGTAAAGTGGCACCATGCTATTATTATTTTTGGCATCTAAGCAAGAGTAGAAACCAGGCTCCTTGAAAAATCTACATGGAATGCAGTTAGCCTTCAGCCTTCGTCTTCCCGCTTTCCTTTCTCTATCCTTCTATTTCTGGCAAGCCCTCCTCTCCATTATTTATTGCCTTCATTTATTCATTGCATTCGCTCACTCACTTGTCAATTATTTTTCAAACAAGAATAAGGCTCTTTGCCAATGGAGAAACAAAGCTATGAAAGAAAGGGACCATGTTGCAGGCAGCTGCTGATTCTGTTATAAAGATAAGTCATGTCCAGGCATTACCACAGCACAAAGAAGAACATGAAAAATGCCACTTGGTGTATATAACTGTAAGAGCTGAGAGGATGTAAAGCACCCAAATTCTACACCAACTGAGACCTGCCTTCTCTTGAAGTAACCCTCCTCTCAACCAGAGGTTTGTAACCTTAGCTACACATAAGAATCACCTGCAGAGTTTTTAAAAGTCCTGATACCTAGGTCAAATCCAAATCCTGTTTTGAAAACTCTCTGGAGAATGGACCCAGATGTCAGCATTTTTAAAATTGGCTATTCTGATGTGTAACCTCAGTTGAGAACTATTGCTCTAAAAATCCTTTCTTTTGAATCTCATGTTACAGAAATTTTAATATCACTTTCTGAAAGGGGAAGAAAAGGGAAATCACTTCAGGAAACATTCACTTTCCTCATTCTCTTAAGAAAAAACACATAAACAAACAAAAACAAAGCAACAACAGCAAAACTGTCCTCTTCTGTAAGTTCTTGAGGTAACAAATTAAAAACTAAAATTGAAACAAAAAACCCATAGAGATCTTGGTAATCAGTTCTGGAATTAGCAGTAAGGAGGCCAGAGAGGTCTTTCTTGGCATGTGGTATAGTTTGAGAGATTCAAGGAAGAAATGTGATCCTTTGCATGGAAGATGAGATTGAGTAGGTTAAACCTGTCTGGTTAGATGTAAAGGTCTTGGAAAAAGGAAATGCAACAGTAGTAGGAGGTCTGATTTGTTTTTGACAACAAACCTTGAGTATTTATTCCAATAAATTTCACAAGGTTAGATCAATTAGATCAGTGGTCAAATTATCAAGCCATTTTAGGATTTGTGACAACAAAACAAAACAAAATGCAAGTCATAAATCAGGACTAAGAATCTGACCCTAAAAATGATGGGTGGGGGTGAGCATTAGGAAACTGTAACAAAGAGCCCCCCAAATTTGGCTGCTGTTGTGAAATTATGACATTTATTGCATAGATACAAAAAGTCTGTTGTCAGCAAATAAAAACTAAGTAGAAGAATATAGAAGAGATTTATTTTGAAGTATTCTCTTTACTTCTGGTGCCTAAAAGCATCCTTCCCATGTTCTTCCTTAATATCATTGATAGTGATGTGGATTAGGAAGCCTGTGGATAAAACAGACCCGGATTCTAACTCTGGTTCCTTTTCTACTACCTGTGAAAACTTGGGTTATAGTTTAATTCTCTGGACTTCAGATTCCTTATCAGTGAACTGGGGGAAATTACCTATTTCCGAAAACTGTGAACATTAAAGAACAAATAGATTAAGGCTCTTAATAATTTCAAGTCTTTTTCCAACTCTTTGTTTTGTCTGTTGTTACTGATATAATCTCTAAAACAGCTTAAATTTTTTTAAAGATTTATTTATTAGAGAGAGAGAGAGAGAACAGGCATGTGTGAGTGCACATGCATGAGTGGGGGGAGGGGCAGAGGGACAGAGAGAATCTCAAGCAGACTCATGACCCTGAGATCATCACCTGAGTCAAAATCAAGAGTCGGCTGCTTGACCAACTGAGCCACCCGGGTGCCCCAAACAGCTTAAATTCTTGCAGATGTAGGGGAGATAAAAATTATGTAGGACACAGTGTGCTAATGGTAGCGGTCTAAGTTGCTTGGGTGGGGGTGGGGGCTGGGTCATTTAAGCCTACACATGATAGAGTCTTCTGCCATGAATAAACTTGATCAAATCCTTGGGGGCAAGAGATTAGTTATTTTTGATCCTCTGTTTATCTACAGACAGGATTTTACTCTAGATTAGGGGTGGCAAACTCAAGGGCAGGCAGGGCCCTTGCAGGTCTGGGGAGTGGTGGGGGCACAATTTGAGCAACTGGAGTGTGAGAACGTGCTCTCTTCAAGGGGCAGCCTCCGCTTACATCAAGCAGGTTCCTGGCACGCAGGGATTTAGTCTCAGTTGTTGCCAGATTTGATTTTTCAAGAAAAGTCAGATCCATATTTAATGTAAAATCTCCCAGTTTTTAAGTGTTGACAACTAATTCTATTTTCTTTCAACATCCTGTGGGCCAACCAAAACATATCTGAATACAGCCTGTGTGCTACCTGTTTTGCAACCTTTGGATTTTAAAGGTCATTTTCACTCCCAATGCCCTCTGGTCCATGAGCCCAAGAATCATTGTATACGTCCCGCATGAAAGGTTCACCCTACAGATTAGATATACAGTCATACCCCAGGAAACAACAGGAAACACTTATTTGGAAGTGTTTCCTGTTAGTGTTTCATTATCCATAATGAATGTTACCTCCCAGGCAATTCTTATGCAAACAGCTTCTTGTTCCAAAGTTAAAATCAGATACATTTCCTGTTACTTGCCAAAGTGCATAGACCTAATTTTCTGCATGTTAGTTTTATCTTTTTTAACACATCTGGGGGCTGGTTTCAGTTCCCCAGGGCCCTACTTTATTTTGCACCAAGTCTTGGGTGGTAAAACTTTAATGAACTTCAGCATTTATAAAAGTCTTAGAGAAACACAGGCTTCCATCCTACCTGCTATGAACTGAATTGCGCTGTCCCCAAAATCAAGGGACGAAGCCCTTACCATCAATGTGACTGTATTTGGAGATGGAGCCTTTAGGAAGGTGATTAAGGTTAAATGAAATTGTAAGGGTAGGGCCCTTCTCCAACAGGACTGGTGTCCTTATAAGAAGAGGAGGAGACACCAGCAGTGCAGGGGCAGAGAGGAAAGTCCATGTGAGAACCCATCTCCAAGTCAGGAAGAGAGCTCTCGCCAGAAACCAAACCTGCAACCACCTTCGTCTTGGACTTCTGGCTTTCAGAAGTCTGAGGAAATGAATTTCTGTTGTTTAAGCCACCCACTCTATGACTCTGTTATGGCAGCCCTAGCAAACTAACACACCCTCTATAACTAGCCTGTCTTTGATATCTGATGCCCCTTGGGCTTTTAGGATCCTTTAAAATCCTACTTAGGGATTTTAGGCACGTCTTCCCATTTGACTCCTGCTCAGGGCATTATGGAAATTTTGTATCTCCAATCAAAAGTGTCTCCCTTCTGGGAAATATATCAAAGTTTATATATAATGGCAGAATACAAACTATTTGGTGACTCACCCATAAAATGTGAGATAAAGGAAACCAATCCTTTTCCCAAGTTTTAAAACTTGTCCTTGTTTGTCAGATGCTCCTGTGAGTCGTACTATGCCTACTTTCTTGAGGCTGGAGAGCCACTTGTAGGCATGTTCATCATTTTTTAAAACATCTTCAAAATCCAGTGTAGGTAGCTGGAGCTCTGCGCCCCAGTACTGACATTCTGTGAATAAGAAAAAGAAGAAACTAGATGGGATTACATTGCTTTTATATAAAATGAGAAGCTCTGAGAAAGGACTAGTTCATCGAAGTTGACCTTTGATTTATCATGGGATTTATGAAATTTCAGTCACATTCGAATTGCCCAAGCTACTATATTTTCTTCCCTGGGGCCATGCCAATCTACTATATACCTCCCGCCTACCACTGCCTGACCCATGACAGGTATTAACTAGACCTCATTTGTCGAGAGAACGTTTAGCTCATGGATAGCTCTTGATCTGTATGTCCTTAGGGCTTCTTTGCCTGGACTCTGCTTAGATACGTCTCCACTGAGACACTGTGTGTTTTAATGGCCATGTTACATTGCTCAACTCCAAATAGATGATAAAATCTGAATGATGGACTTAGAACAGCATATGCACATTCTTAGAGGTGGGAGGAGTGTGTGCCTTGGTAGGTACAGCTCCTTCTTCCTCTTATTTCACCTGATAAAAAGCTTCCTCTGAGGTCAAATCATTCTTGGGAGTCAACAAAAACTGTCCATGGGGAAGAAAAGATGAAAGGTGTGGTCCTGGGATACGTAAAAGATGCATTTTGCGTAGATCCTTTGATGACAACACCACAGTAGATAAAATCAAATGCCTTCATTAGCTTTCTGATTCCTCATGATCAAATGCTTATGAAAAAAGTTTACTTGAAGAAACAGAAAGGAAATCAAATGGAAAAAATAATTTGCATTTCAAACCGGGCTCTCCCAAAGGAGGCAGAACACAGAGATGTCATTTTGCCAAGGGAAATAACTCAGATATTAACAACTGCATTCAGGAGAGACCTAATTCGATCTAATCCATTTGATTTCTTCAGTTTTGGAAGAAAGAATCTGCCTTAGGAAGGCAAACCTTCCCAACAAGTGACGGAACGAGATCCTATGATCTCAGTATCATCCTGATCCATGCCTCATTTCTCAAACGGGGGAATATATATCACGTTATGGAAAACAGCCCCAAGCCTATAGTTTAAGAATGAGGACTGGATCAATGTTCCTGTGTAGTTGTTGTAGACTGGAAATCATGGCTGTTTCTGCAGAAATGGGGATTTCTCAGGAGTCAGATAATAGCTTTAGAAGTGAAAAAGTTCCTGCAGGTTGAGGAGGCCCCCTCCTGCTCTCCCATCAGCTAATCAGCCACATGCAGCCAGTACTGTATGAAACAGGATATGAATAGGGTAAAGAATGGAGGCACAGGGCCTGGGTTTGAATCATTGTCCTGCATCTTACCAGCTAGTTTCTTGGTGTCTATTCTGAGCCTCCATCTCTTAATTTATAAAATAGCCATACTTATATTTACCGTGCAGGTCATTTGTTGGCCATGCAAAGAGCCTAGAATAGTGCCTGGCACATAGTAGACAACTGCTATTCCGACCAGCTATAGTAATAGCCAATATTTGCTGAGTCCTTTCTAGATGGTAAGGCACAGTGTGAAGTGCTTTCCATATGTTATTTCTTTTAATGTCCACAATAAAAAATAGATGCTTTCAGCATTCTCAAGTTATAAGAAGGGAGGAAGAGAGATCCAAATCATGCAGAGCTAATGATTTGCAGAGCTAGTTAGTCAAATCCAGGCAACCGATTCCAAAGTCTATAATTTTGACAACTACACATAAAATGAACAAATGATGCCTTGAAATAGTGTTGTCACATGTATTTTTATGCCTTATGTCTGAATGTCCATTGCTTATTCTGTCCCTTACAAAGGAAATCTACTAGATAAAAAAAGAAAGCAAAGCAAGTTACACTTAGGACCACTTTGTCCAAACTTGTTCAAGCAGGGGTGTTTAAAGATAAATCTTGAATATAACACTGTGTGTTAATTATACTGGAATTAAAAAAAAATTACTACACTTGATCTTAGCCAAAAAGCCAAGAAACGATGGAATTAAAAAAAAAATTAAAGATAAACCTTGGCTGCTAGTCAGGATTTTAGATGCAGAAAAAACGTGATGAGTAGGTTTCATTTACAATGACATTGCTGTCCACCTTTTGTGAAATGAACCAAGACTTAAAAATCAGCAAGCTTCTCTTCTTAATTTATGCCAGTGTATTTCAGGGGTCCAAGTCGGTTTGCTTTAACTTAGGGCCATTATCACTTTCCAGAGAGTGTCAGTGACCATGTGTCAGGGAAATAGAATACACAGAGATTGAAAAAACATTTTCCAAGATGTAAATGTTTTAAAAAACTTCGAGTTCATATTTTGACTACTTTGTGGATTTAAGGAGGGTCTCCCTAGGGCACACACCATATACATCTATATAGATTTATAGCATGTTTTAATGAGTTTTTGTTTCCACATGAGTCATTTTCCCATTATATAATACACATGCATGTGCATGCACACACTCGCACACACACTATTTTTTGTTCTAAAAACACAGAATGAGTTAGGTTCTTTCAATAAATCTGTTACTCTTTACATGTGTAAAATTAACCATGTTCATGATGAGACTCTAATATAAAGCAAGGCTCTCAGTACTACACACAGTGTAGTCTCCACTATAAGTAATTTCAGATTTACAGGATTTTACCATCAGAGGGTGGTTACAATGCCTTTTAAGTTCTGCAAAGTTCACTATTTTCCAACTCCAGCTCTCATTCTGGCATGCTCTGGCAAAGACTTGACAAAAATCAGCAACCAAGGGCCGGAGCTCATTATAGAACCTGTGTCCTAATATGAGCCACTCATACACTCACTTATGTTATAAGTGACTTTCCGAGATAGCACTGTGACTACCCAGTTTCTAAACTCATCATAACATCCACAGTATAAAATATTCTAATTTGTGGGGAGAAATAAACTACATTTCAATAAATCCACCAGTAAAATCATTTCATGATATCTGCACAGAAACTTCGACATTGAAAAAGCAATTTAGAAGCACCTCCCCAGTCTCCCCCAATCACAGAACAGAACTACCATGGACTCAAGAGAAAACATGTTTGACTAGAGTAAATCATTTGTCAGGTGAATACATTAAAAGCAAATTTAAATTTCACACTTGGGTCTGGATACATAAACAGTATGGAAAATGACGGAATATTTAAGGCATGAACCACTCTTTCTAATTTAACTTATGGCCTACTAATAAATACTTCCTTGAACATGTGCTTCACACATCATAAAATTTATGAACACGCTACATGCTGGCTTTCAAGGAACTGTTTGTACAAGATTTCCTTTTCAGGGTTAGGCATCACATTCCTGGATCTTGAGTTGTATTTCAAAAAAGTTGTATTTCAAAAAAATTTCTTCTTCACAAAGAAGCTCTTTGGTTAAAGATTCCTGAGTGCAGCATGCTGGGTTGCAATGTGTTATTTTGGGTTTAGAACCTTCCGTCCACCTGCACTGAACTGCTCTTGGCTCTGAAATACCAAGTCTAATGTGTTTCAGATCAGCCAATCACTTACTGTCTCTTCCAGTGAATACTTAGCAGGGCCCAGCCAAAACCAAAATCTGACCCTTGTAGAGGAAACGTACCTAGTTGTAAATAGGGCTTTCAGTCTCTCCCCTGGGCTAAGGAGATCCTGCCTCTCTGGATACTCTTTTACTTCTCGGCTAGTGAATTTGACGTGTCTCAAGAATCTGATCACTGTTCTCTCTTAGACTGAGATCTTCCAGAAGCTGACCTGAGATGAGGATCTGAATGCAAGCCATGTATTAAGGAGGGATCCCTGGAAGAACTACTAGGAGGTGGGGAAGTAAAACAGGGAAGGAAGCCTCTGGAAATCATTTTAATGACTGGTTAAATGAACTACTAGGCCTTATGGCAATACTGTAGACTATACTTCAGGGTTGTCCCACCCAGGAGAAGGAAGCTGGGGTACACATGCCACTCATGCCTACTCCTCTTTGGCTGCTTCTCTAGGCACTTCTGGAGACCAAGGCAGAGAAACCCCTCCAGCCGAGTGGCAGTCTGTGCTAGAAAGTGGCTGGCGTGCATGGGAAGAGTACTGCAGGGCTGGGGGTGCGGAGGGGGGGGGCATGGCCAGCCTCTGCAATGCCCTCCTTTAGGGTCTGTAAGACTGAGCTAGATGACTGTCTTCTGTGGTCCTCCCGCACTGAAACACACCTCAGCCTCAGCGCTTGCCACGTTGTGCTGAAATAATCTTACACTTATTCAACACATACTTGTGGAAAGCCTTGCTATTCAAAAGAGATCACATTCGTGAATAAAAATGATGTGATCACACATCTGTTTTGTGAAGGGAAAAGTGAATAAGCAAGGAAGCAAACAAGTAAATACATAAGAATGAACATTGTATCAAGTGCTCCAGAGGTAACAAATGGAGTGCCTCTGCAAACAATTACTGGGAGCCAGATGGGGAACATATTTAGACATGGCAGTTAAGAACTATCTAGCTAAAGAGACACTACTGAAGCCAGACACCAGTGGGTGAGAGAAGGCAAAGATGCAAAGGGCAGGGCGAAGAGTGTCTTGGCGGAGAGACAGTAGGAAGAGGGAGAATCTCTCATCTTGTTGGGGGAACTCAAAGTTTCTAGGGCTAGAACCCAGGCAAAGAGGAGGGTAGCAGATGAAGTGGAAAAGTAAACAAGGGTCGATCAGGCAGGACTTCATCTCTCTTCCTTCCACTGGATTACAAGTTCCTTGCAAGGGACGGAGAGCATGTCACATATCTTTAATTCCTCACCTCTACTCCCCCTTTCTCCCTCCACCCTCCAGCATAGAGCCCAAGGCTGGCATGCAGTAGATTTCCAGAAAACTAATATGTTCTGTATCCTAAACAAATCTTTGCTTATTTTCTAATGGGGACTAGAGACTGGAGGCACCCCCTGAAAGCTGAGATTGTGTCTGAACACTCTTTAGTATTTTAAAAGATGGAGAAATCTATAAAACCTTTTCCCTAGGTGATAATCCCACCAAACTCAAAAAGTCTCCCTGAGGATGTATAAAACACACTTCTACACAAGTTTATGTTGCCTGAAAGG